TGAATGTGAGGAGCTGCGGCCCTGTGCTCTGGGGCCCCCAACACTTGGCACAGGCAGATGGGCCTTCTGCACCCATGTTTTCTAAATCCTGAGGCAGCCACTCCTTACTCTGGAAGCTGTAGCATGTTGAAACAAAACATGAAATTAAATGCAGAAGGAATTTATGTTAGATTTAGAGACGCGGGTGGATAAAGGGGAATGTGACCTCCCCAAAGTAACACCTGGAGCCAGTGATATCCTGAACCTGGGAGGCGCCTTTTGTCAGCTCTCTAAGGGTGGGTCTCACGCCTTTTGTCAGCTCTCTAAGGGTGGGTCTCACGTTGTGGCAAAACAAACTAGTCTGGCCTGGTTCCCATGGCAGAACTGAGAATATTAGTAACCTTATAGCAGTTCCTCCGGATGGAGGTTAGGAGAACCAAAATTTTGCCACCCCAAAGCTGCTTTTTGGGATATTGATTTTAAGCTGTTTATGAAGAAATAAGACTAAAAGAAACTTTGGCGCTTCCCCCTTTCCTGCCTAAGAGATTCAGAAAGAAGCCTGTTTTAGGAAGGGAGCTTTTGATAGGGTAAGTAGATAGATAGAAATGAGCAGGGAAAGAGAGACCTAGCCCGGTTAGAAAGCCCTTTGCTGCAGCTCTTACCTGGGTCAACACCCCTGGCAGCTGTCCTCACTTAGAGAACCAATGCCTTACTAGCCCAGCAGGATTCCAGGCTCACACATATCCCTAAATTCAAAGGGATATGTTGTTAAAAGCCAGAGAAGGGAGGAAGACATCCCACTTATCAGAGTGCTTGATATCCTGACATCCTGCTTGTCAGGACCATTTTAGTGAGCTTCTCAAATAAACCATTAAAAGAAAGTTGACAGAAACTACCTAGAGAACCAAAAGGGAGGACTGGGCACCTTAACAGGAGAGAAAGAGGTAAGGAGATGGGGGAGGCAATTCTACCCACAGAAATAAAAGCCTTCATACAATGTAAGGAGACGCCTTTCCCCCTCTTAGGATGAGTCTGCTCCACATCTTGGTGTGTATCTGCCTTTACTAATAAACTTCTTACTACCCTATACCTGCACAAAACTCTGTCTCTTGACTGAATTCTTTCCCTCAAGAAGAGCTGAGGAAATCATCACAACCTGGTAACACTTTGGCTTAATCGCCTTAAGAACCTTCACCCTAGCATTGGAGTCGGGAAGACTCCAAGCCTATTAGCTGGATACCCTCTGTGTCCCACTGTTTGAGTTGCCTAGCAAGAATTTTGCTGTCATGTATGTTCCACTCTTCTTCAACTACCTGTTAATCCACCATTCTCACTTCTGAAATCTAATACCCTGTTCCCCTTCCCTTTNAAAAAAAAAGCTTTACCTACAATAGCACATTGAGTCCTCATGATACTATTGTGATAGGTGTATTTTATAGAGAGAGATGCTCATTTTATAACGAAGCAAACTGAGGCAGACTGATAAGGTCATGCAGGTTATAGGTGATAGAATGGGAATTCTAACTCAGGTCTGATTCACCTAGCCTCAAATTCTAATCACCTCTCAAGAAAACTGGATTTCACAAGTACAAGTTCCTCGGTCTTCTAGCTATACTGCGCCATCTAGTGGCTGGAGGGCTGACCTGTGATATGAATGGATGAGGCAAGGGTAGGGGAGAAAGCTCCTGTGTTTGTAGCCTCTCCCGATATTAACAAGTCCTTGGGCAGGTGGGAAAATCCCCATAAGAAAGACGAGGAACGCTGGACCCAGAGGCAGATCCTGCCCAGAAAGGGATGTCCGGATCGGGATGCACCAGGGACTGCGTCAGTCACTTTACATCATTTTATCTGAATCATCCTAACAACTCAAAAGTTGTTTCTGTCCCCGTTTTAGGAATGAATTAAAGGAAGCTCAGAGAAGTAAATATCCAAGGTCTCAGCTAAAAAACGGCAGAGCAGGATTCAAATTCACAGTTAATCATCAGCTGGGCCTGGCTCCCTATAGAGCTGGGGAGACAGCGCCACCTGGTGGCAACTGATCTGAGCTGCTTCTGGACTAGAAGAGAGACCAAAATAAAAACTAAGAGCTAACACATAGCATTTATCATGCACCAGGTTCTAAATGCTTTACTGAGATTTAATACAAATTAACTCGTTTAATCACTCCTACTAACAACCCTCTAAGGCAGGTAATCAATAATTAATAGCCACCACTCCTCTTTATTTTTATTGTATTTTACTTTTCTGTCTTTCTAAAAAAATTTTTTTACCGTAGAACACTTCAAGCATACACAAAATATGATATATACACTATGCATTCTCAACAATGATCAACTCATGACCAATCTTGTTTCATCAGTACCCTCGACAATCCCCTACCCCTGCCCCCCCAAATCAAGATTATTTTGAAGCAAAGCCCAGGCATTGTATCAGTTCACCTGTAAATATTTCAGTTGTGTATCTCTAAAAGTATCCCTATTTTACTGTTGTAGAAACTGAGGCATGAGGAGGTCACATAACCTGACGGAGGTCACTTTGCTGATGGAGTGCAGGGGCTGCATCAAACTTTGTCGGTCTGGTTCCAGAGCTTTTGCCTTTATTGTGGTGTCTCTGGAATGTGTCATCAACTCAGACAACAATAAAACTCTGCCATTTCTTTTCAAAGTTGTCAAGTTACTTCTCAATTTAACAAAACTGGGATACAAACTGTAGAGATGAAAGTATTGTATCCATGTTAACTTCACTGAAGTTGATAAGTGTACCGCAGCTGTATCAGAGAACATCTTGGTTCTTAAGAAATACACATTGAAGTATTTAGGGGTAAACTGTCATGTCTTATGTAATTGTGTAATTCACCCTAAATGATTCAGATAAAGTGTTAGGTAGATGTTGGAGGTGGGGAGAGAAATGATATTGAAAATGGGTTAAAATATTAACCTAAAGTGAATCTGGGTAAAGAGTATAATGGGTGCCGTTTGTACTATATACATTCTTGAAACTTTTCTATAGATTTGAAATTACTTCCCGAAAAAGTTTTAAAATTTAAAGCTTTAAAATTATTGTTTAAAATTTAAATATTATCCCATTGTTTGTATGTACCACTATTATGAACTAAAGGTCTGTGTCCCCCACCAAAAGAATTTATATGTCAAAATCCTAACCCCCAATGTGATGGTGTTAGGAAGTGGGGTCTTTGGAAACTAATCAGGTCAGAAGGGTGGAGCATATTAAAAATAATGTACACTACATATGGCATGTGATTCTATTTATGTAAAGTTTTAAAACAGGCAAAAGTACTCCAGATGACAAAGGTCAGAATAGTGGTTCAATTTGGTGGGTATCAGCTGGAGAAAAAGAAGGACAGAGCCATTCAGAGTACAAAAAAAATTATCTCTTATGAACTTGTCTCATTAAGCTGTGTACTTGAAAGCTTTGCTCTTTAC